TAACCGTCATTATTAATACCATAGGCTCCTTGAGGATGAAGCATGATAAGGATGTTAGGAAATATTTTATTTCCTATATATAATCTAATTATGGGCAACATATTATATACAATTATATTAGCTATTCAATTAATTAATGGACTCAATTAAGTGATCTAAATAAAGTAGGATCCATGGGCTACGGAAATTGATATGGGCTAATTGAGTGGATACCTAATATTATTAGGGTTAGGTGATAATGGGTGACCTACCCTAGTAGTATATAAAGACCCTCTTGGTTATGGTCCCCAATATACTAAATCAAACATAGTTCTCTTTTCTCCCCATCTGAATTGAGAATGACGGTCATATGAGGAATAAGGCGATTTCGTTGAGGATGACCATAAAACCGACCCCGTTCGTGATCAAGGATGTGTTCGTGATCCAAATCGTGTTCATGGAGATGATATCCGGAGATTGATGATAAGGTATTCCGCATCTAGAAACTGATCAATCTCAATGGGTCCAGTTATTCCTTATAATTAATCTTTAATTATAATCTAGCGCGATGTTGATTTTCCTAGAATTAAAGTATGTTCTAGGTTAATTGTTATTGAATTTATATTATGTGATTATAAATTCCTACAAGTGGTATCAGAGCAGTCATCGATTGCTAGATCTAGATTCAATAGATCCGAATTGCAGTTTAAATTCAAATTTTCAAACTCTGTCTATGCATTCGATATCGAATACTGTGAAAGTGAATTTAATATTTGCAAATTAGATGTCTTCTGCTAATTTATCCGAATAATTAAACATCTTAATGGCTTGGCGTGAAAGGGGTTTTTTATTTGTTGAATTTATATATCCCAAACCTTGATTTGTGTTTTGACATTCATCTCTATAAGGCTAAATTGCAAAAACTAGCCAGTAACTTAGACGGGTTGGCATTTATACCCACCATCTTTCTACTTTGGCAATAATAGCCAAAACGTTTTAAAAAATCGGTCTTTCTACCCAAATCCGGCCAAACTCGTCGGAACTCCGCCTGAGGTCACAAAACACGCCAGCGTGGACTGGACGTGGACAAATTAATCCACCTCAGTTATACCGTCTATAAATACAACATCCACGTGTTTTCTCCTTTATTTTTCACACAAAAATCGGCCAAAAATCGAACAAAAAAGAAAAGCCCCAATCTTCGAGCAGAAACCCTAATGCTTCATTCTGCAAATCGATCAAGAACCCTAGAAATTAAGACGTCGATTTGATGACATCCTCAATATTCTTGCGAAGTAATAGGAATCCAAACTCTTCTCCTCCTGCGTACGGTAAGATTCCTTAATCTACTCCATTGTTTCGCACCAGTTTGTCTGTTCTTTATAAATTTTGTTTTTGTTTTTTTTTTTTTACAATAATACACCACTATCAAGAGAGTATACTTAAAATGCTAGAATTAAAGTGGTGGTCCTGCATTGGTTTTATGTTTGGCTTTATACAGATATGTGGGGACATAAGACATATATTTTATTCATATGAAAAATTGTTAATTTTTTTCCTGATGAAATTTTAATTTTTTATTTATCACAGCTCGTGAGAGTTGTCAACTCAGTGTTGTTGTGTACTATGGAGGTCAATTTTTCAATGAACCTATTGCTTACTATAAGGGGGGTGATTCAGTTATCTTTGACTATGTTCATAGTAAAGGTATGAACATAGAAACTCTTTATAGTTTAACTGATGAGGCTGTTGGAAAAGGAAAAATGAGGAAACATTATGTATTGTGTGGCAATAGCTTCCATGGTGTTTTCACTGATGAGGATGCTAGGGCCTGGTTTATTAAGCATCTACCTCTTAAGGAGATAGAAATTTATGTAGATGTGATACCAACTGATGAATCAATTGTTGGTAAAGACTGTAATGAGCACTCTCTTCAAAACAAATCTGGTGAAGACTCTCCTGATTCTGATTACAATGTGGAAACTGAGCAAAGTAGTGATGATGATCAGTTGTTTGAGAACAATGTTGATCTTAGTGTGGACACAACAGATAAACTGTCAGAAGCATTTGCTGAAAAGGATGGTGGAGAAGCATCTGTTGAAAATGACTGTAATGAAGCCTCTGTTCAAAATAGCCCTAGTGAAGGCTCTCTTGATTCTGATTACAATGTGGAAAGTGAGCAAAGTGATGATGATGAGCAGTTTGAGAATAATGTTGATGACAGTGTGGACACAACAAATCAGTTGTCAGAAGCATCCCGTTTAATGGGATTGGACAATGATGATGAATTGTTTAAGCTTATTGATGATCATTCTGGGGTGTCATCACCTGAAAATGTGGTTGCACAAGAGTGTGACAATGACCATATTGAAATTAACTCTAATGTAACCCCTGTTGAAAACAACTTTGATGAAGACTCCATGGATTCTGAGTACAATATGGAAGATGACCACAGTGATGATGATGATGATCTATATCAGAATTTTGTTGATCATAGTATGCAAAGTTCAAATCAGGGTTCAATTCAGGGTTCAGGAGAAGAAAGTGGTCACAGTGAAGAAGATGTGGTCCATAATGGGGATGACATACAAGATCATATTGCCAATTATGAGGAGGGAGAACACATGCCTGTATTCAATCCTGCCACTATCTTCAAGCCTGTGTTTGAGCTTGGAATGCTATTTAGTAGCAAAAAAGAATTTAAGAAAGCTGTCCAAAGTTATGCCATTGAGAGTCACAGAGGTGTGAAGATATGTAGAAGTGATTCTACAAGGTTGTATGTTACCTGTGTTGCAACAGACTGCCCATGGAAAGTGCATCTAATAAAGAAGAAGAATGAAGAAACTTGGTTCATCAAGGAATTCATTTCTGAACATTCTTGTCCATCTACCTTTCAGGTCAGAAATGTTATCTACCTCTTAACATTCAGTTAAATGATTATAAAACAAATATTGGTAGTTAATTTTTTTCCTAACACTTAAATATGGTACTTAATATTTTTTTCACTTAAATATGGTAGTTAATTTTTTATTCACACTTATATATGGTAGTTATTTTTGTTCATCTACCTTGCAGGTGAAAAATGTGAAGTCCTCTTGGTTGTGTGACAGATACTTAAAGGACTTTAAGGCAGACCCCAAGAGAAGTGTAAAAGGTTTCAGGACAAGCACCATTGAAGAGCTAAGGTGTCACATTTCTAAAGATCAAGCATATAGAACTAAAAGAAGAGCACTCAAAATTCTGGAAGGCTCTGCAGAAGGGCAATATTCTAAGCTGTGGGATTATTCTGAGGAACTTAGAAGATCAAACCCTGGGTCTACTATCATTTTAGGTACTGATTCTGATGAAAATGGAAATTCTAGGTTCAATAGATTGTACATTTGTTTTGCTGCAATGAAGAAAGGGTATAGAGATGGGTGCAGACCAATAGTGGGGATTGATGGATGTCATTTGAAGGGCCCGCACAAGGGTATATTGTTGGTTGCAGTGGGTGTTGATCCCAATAATAAGTGGTTCCCATTTTCTTATGTTGTGGTCAGTAGTGAGTGCACAGAGACATGGTCATGGTTCTTGACTATTATGAAGAATGATTTAGCCATGACTGACACCAGTGGTTTCACCCTAATGTCTGACAAACAGAAGGGGATCATTCAAGCTGCAGCTCAAATATTCCCTCAGTCTGATCACAGATTTTGTGTCAGGCATCTTTGCAATAACTTCAAAACAGCCGGTTTTAGGGGTTTGGCATTCACAAATGCCTTATGGGCTGCTGCAATGTCCACAACCAAGTCAGGATTCACAAATAGAATGGCAGAGCTTAAGGAGATGAACCCAGAAGCATGGAAATGGCTCTCTGATAAACCACCAGAGCAGTGGTCTAAATCACATTTCAAGGATGTTCCCAAATGTGATATGTTATTGAATAACTGTTGTGAGACCTTTAACTCTTGTATTTTGGAGGCCAGAGAGGAACCTATTATCACAATGCTAGAGTGGATTAGAGAATACCTAATGAAGAGAATGCAAGAGAATAGAGATAGGGCTGCAAGAAAGTGGAAGAATAAATTGTGTCCAAGAATAATGGAGCTTCTTGAGCTACACAATAAGGGAGTGGCTGATTGCATACCAGTGAAGGCTGATGACATACACTTTGAGATAAAGTGTAACAATGGTGCACAATACTCTGTCAACTTAAAGGATGGAGTTTGTTCATGTAGGTCTTGGGGATTGTCTGGAATTCCATGCAGCCATGCTTTGAGTGCCATCCATTTTCAGAGAGGTAATGTCGAGGACTATGTAGATGAATGCTACACAGTGTCCAAGTATATGGCTGCTTATGGGAACACTTTGTATCCCATTAATGGCACTGAACTTTGGGAGGATAACCATTTCATACCACCACTGCCACCTAATTTTGGAAGGGGTGCAGGGAGACCTTCTAAGGCAAGGAGAAGGGAGAGTGATGAGATAGTTGGAAAAAATAAGAAGAAAAAAGGAACTTCAGCTCCTACAAAAGTGAAGAGGCAACAGACAAAGGTGAACTGCAGCAGATGTGGTGGAGAAGGCCATAATGCAGCCACATGTTCATCTAACACTAACCAACCTCCACCAGTACAGAAGATGCAGAAGATGCAGGTAATTAATTTAAATGTACATACTGCTACTGTGGGTGCAATTAAATGTGGGTGCAATTAACTGCTACTGTGTGTTTTAAATATATATACTGCTATTTTGTGTTTTATAATCATTTAACTGTGGGTGCAATTACTAAGTTATTTTGATGTGTGTTTTAATTTCAGGTAAGAAGAAACAGTGGTCCATCCCTTAGAAACCTAGCAAGTACTGTGAACCCAACTTTGTTTCCACCACTGTCAAATCATGAAGATGAAAGTATGGTGATGGAAGAAATTCCTACACAACAGTCCCAGACACCTTTGATGGCCACAATGCAGAGATCAACTCCTGGACCATCCATGTATGAGCAGTTAGTCAGGGGAAACCCAGTGCAGCCTACAAGAGCCACACATGGAGTTCAAATAAGAGGGCCTCCTACATTTACTGGAGAGAGACCTGTTTTTTCTGTGGGAAGCAACATTACATTAGCTCATGAAAAGGTTGTAGTTGATAAGGGGAAAAAGTACTTGGTACTTAACAAAAAATATCATGGCAATGACAAGTGAATTTGTGTCTGTTGAACTAGGTTGATAATGGGTTGTTAGGAATTTTTTACTGGCTTGTTATGGATAATATTAGATCTCTGAATTGCTTAAGGGATCTTTTGAACTTTGGATTTGCTTAGATCTTTTGTACTGGTTGATAATGAGCTGATTTGGTTGGTACTTTTTGTGGATTTTGTAATGGATTTGTTATGGTCTTGTAAGGAATTCTAATTTGTTGGATTTGGTATGCACTGTGTAGATTGTTATGGATTATAAGGGGTTTTGTGTTGGATTTTGTGTTAGATTTGGTAATGAATTTGTTATGATCTTCATACAATTTGTGTACACATTTTTGTGCTACATGTATTCAGGCAAAGCTGCAGCTTAAACTATAAAAAATGGTCAACAGACTGCCCACAAATATGCCACAAACTAACATTTGTTATGTCATTACAAGATCAAGTTACATCCAAATACAACAATGTCAACAACATTACAAATATGCATCAACCTAATATCAATTATTCACCATCTTTTCATCATCTGTCTGAGAGCCACAAAAGAAAAACACCAAACTCCAAATTATCAATAATGCTACTAACATCCTTAAAAGTCTTGTTTTTTTTGCACTTTCATACTTCAATTTCAGAATTTCTACCTTCAGTTTCTTGTTTTCTTCTTCAAACTCAAAATTGAGTTTCTTCAACTTCTTGTTTTTTTCTTCAAACTGAAAATTGAGTTTCTTCAATTTCTTGTTTTCTTCTTCAAACTTCAGAACCTCGAATTTTTCAATGTCAGCACTCTTACTTGATTCTTCCATTTCATTCAATCTCCTGAGCAACCCAGGAATTATTTGTTGAGCACGGGCACAAAGAGGAGGATCGACCCATCCAAAATACTTGCATCCTTCTCCCTGAATTCCACCAAAAATAAAATACATAAATAAAAACAAAAATCAAATTCAATTACAAAGCACTTATTCATCTAAAACTCTCAAGTATTGTATGACTTACAGGCCAATGGAGGCACGAGAAATATCATCTTCCACAATTTGGAGTTTTCCACGAAGTGCGAATTTCAGCTCGCAACCCACAACGGCAATTTGGATTATCTGTGTTGTAAGACATCTCGTTAGAGCTTCACTCTTAAGTCTAATTTCTTGAAGGTTGTACCGAACAAGAAGGCTATCGAAATCTAGGGTTTCTGCTCGAAGATTGGGGCTTTTCTTTTTTGTTCGAATTTTTGTCGATTTTTGTGTGAAAAATGAAGGAGAACACGCGTGGATGTTGTATTTATAGACGGTATAGCTGAGGTGGATTAATTTGTCCATGTGCAGTCCACGCTGGCGTGTTTTGTGACCTCAGGCGGAGTTCCGACGAGTTTGGCCGGATTTGGGTAGAAAGACAGATTTTTTAAAACGTTTTGGCTATTATTGCCAAAGTCGAAAGATGGTGGGTATAAATGCCAACCCGTCAAAGTTACTGGCTAGTTTTTGCAATTTAGCCTCTCTATAAATCTGTGGGGCCATTTGGGTTGTTGCATAATTATTTTGGTATATTTGGAAAGTTTTTTCAACCCATGACAATAGATGCATTAATATGTTTTAATTCACTTTTCATATTAAGCATAATGATCTATTTAGTGCTTGCATAAATTTTTGGGGGGGTTAATTTAGTTTGGTCTCCAATACAATTAATTTAGTAATTGACATTGAGTTTATTGCTAAATTGCATGATCTGGAAAAATATATGCATTTACTATATGAGGTTGAATGTCTTAAAGGATGAAAACCCAAATTTGTTTTCTTGGACTTGTTTAAATAAAAGACTAATTTGGTTTATAGGCTTTCATTTAAATTGAATGGCGGAGCACTCATTAGAATAATGTGGGTTATTGTAATGTTAAACATGTGACAATTACTTAGTTATACATATGAATGATAAGTCGGCCCAAAGGAAGATTTATTGTTTGACATGTTTTTATTGTCAATGTTTGATCAATGTGCTAAGCTATCAATTACAAGTTAATATTTTGTCCAAAAATAAAATATTAATGGAGTTGTGATGTTTTGAGATAAGGTTACCTTTATTTGAATTTGTTATTTTAAGTCTAAGTAATATTCATGAGCATAAAGGTTGATTTTTAAACTATCTTTATTCATGGAGTTTTAAATCAACATAAGGAATTAGGTTTATGGTCTTTCACTAAAGAAGATGAAATAAAATTGTGGATCTTTATTTTGTCTTATTTTGTTATATTGATTTTAGGTTAAATCGTGAGTATATTTGAGCTTAGGTTGGCATTTGGTTTTCGTCCAACTCGGCTCAAATAACAAAATTTGTTTTTAGCTCAAAAACTGAATGTTTGAACTTTGTTCTATGTTTTGTGGACTTACTTCACATTCAGTAAGGTTAGGCCTAATTTGGTCAAACTAGGCTTTGTCTATATAAAGTTGACTTTAAAGTCTAATTTAGTTTAATGGATTTTAAACTCAAATAAAGTTAATAGACATAAATTTATATAAAGTCATATTTTGGCTCAAATTAGAAGTTAGATTTTGAGGTAATCTTTTTCTTGGTATCTCAAAATTTTTATAAGGTCTGGATTTTCAGTTTGACTTTGCGGTAGACACATAATGTGTTTCCTGAATGCGGGGCTAATTATCCTGATAGGATTTATATTGAATTTTTTCACATATAATCTATAAGGACTCTTTGAGCCAATTATGAGAAACATATTAAGCATTTTCATGACTTATGTGTTTAATTTGGTTTCGACTTAAATTCCAAAATAATGTCATGTTGAGTTTATATATGCTTGAGCTCATTTTGGGATAGTAATTTTATGACTAATGGAATGAATTTTAGCCCATTTTGGTAATAGTGGACCGTAAGTTCAAAAGAAAGTTTATTTGGATTTAAGCTTATTGAAAATAGATTTTAAGTCTAACTAGTACAGAGCCCGTGCGATGCACGGGGTACACAATTTTAAGACTATTTATCCAGGCTTATAATTATATACATGAATAAAGAAAAATATACGGGATATATATAGTACGTGACCGTTCGAAGCACGGGATATATTTATTTGGAGAATATTATATTATAAGATGCAATATTCAATAAAAGTTTATAATACGCAAGAAATTGTACAATGTTCAATAAAAGTTTCATAATATTTAAGTGGAGCCTTAAAGTCTCTTGTACATCAAGACTACTGACAAAATAATATTTTAATCAATGAGTTTCCTTTCCTTGTAGCCAAATTGTGAATGTGATTTGAGGAGTACAACAAATCGATATATAGCTGACTTGCTTTTTTCATTGTAGTTTTTTTTTCTTTTTTTTTTTATAATGAATTTAAAGATATTCTAAAATATAGCAAAAATTAACTTTTTTATTAGAATTAGGAATTTTACTAAATATAGACTCTCAATCTATGGTATTAATCAACGTTTAAGTCTACAAAATTAAGAATTTTTACCTCTTTTAATCAACATTTAAGTCTAAAAAACAATAGAGTTATTATTAGTTTTTTCTACATCTTTTAAAACATTAAATATGAGCATGTTAGGGCTAGCTTGTAAAATAATTAATATATTATCTCACTAAAACATTTATGCTAATAAAAATTTAATTTTAGCATATAAATTTATCCCTTGATATAAGATAAAGTAACATTTTTACTTATTGTTGTTCACCATATAATATTTAATTATTATTTTATTATATAATAAAAAAGGAATATTGTTAAATAGTGCAGTAGAATTGTTATAAAATTATATGATTTTTTTTTACAATATGGATTTAATATTTTTTTATGATTTGA